AAAGTCTGTGAAACTGTTAGCCATGACCACTTTAAAAACAATCCAAGTAAACCTGGAAGGAAAATGTGGATAACTTGCACTGTTTTTGCTGTTTGTTTGTTTCAGTCTCTTAAGATCTAATCTCCTGTTTACTGGGATTTATTTAGTGGAACCTCATTTAGTTAATATCTCCATATGCTGTGTATACAGAATACATTTTTGCTAATATGCAGTGCCTTGCAAAAATATCCCACTGTATTTACAATTTAGGTGACTTCTGAAGGCAAGTGGTGGCACAGTACTTTATTTTAGGGGTATCGGAGTTGCAGGGGGTGAATTAAAATGTGCACTGCTGTTTACAGATTTTTATTAATAAAAGAAATTTAGAAACTATTTGTTCTTTTTCTTCTATTCTAAGACCTTAAATCCAGAATTGTGGGTTTCATATTCTGTCCAGTACATAAATGTCTTACAAATCATCATTTAACGCTAAATTTCAGCTGCATTTTTAAACTCTTAAGGGTTAACGGTTACTCCGGTTAACAGATGATAATAAGAAGGACCAGATGAGTATAAACAGATGGATGGACGCCTGCCTTGCCTGATTTATAATGGTTGGTCTGTGAATCTGCCAAACGTTGGCTTGCTTCAGCATCACTTCTCACTCCAGACAAACCACAGTAATCTGCTTCAGCAGTTTGTATTTCTCTCAGTTGGATATTATCTTCATGGCTGCTTGAAAATCCGAAACACCGACCACCTCCCACATGGTTCTTGAGCTCATTGGAATGAAACTTATGCAGGAATTTGAACCTGATTCTTGATCGCCTTGAAATTTGGCAAATTCGAAAACCTCACATTGCTCCATAGGTATATTATACCTCCATTTTTTCTTTAAAAGTTTGTGTGCAAGACATGAAATATTGGATTTTAATTTTACTTTTTGTTCTGGTTGCAGTCAGGAACAGCAGCTCTGTTTGTCAGAGTCTGTGTTTTAAATAGAGATCCTGCATCAGGAGGCAAATTGTAGCAAACTGATGAAATAAAGTGTTTGTTTTGCAAACATCACTTTTAGAAATGACCTATTTTGTTTTGTTCTTCCATTTGGCTCTCACCTGCTTCTAAAAAAAGCCGAAGCGCTTAAAAAAAACAACTTACAATCCAAGTGGCTCCAGATATTCCACATTTGTTCTTGTTTATGCCGCAAAATCAAAATAACACTAAATAGATTAACAGATGACATCATACCTGTCAATCAATATGTATTTTTAACAGTTTTGTGTTTTAAGCAAATGTTATTAGTTTGTGTTATATATTTATACTTATTGAATTACTTACTTTACATTTACAATCAACATTTTTATATGAGTGCCAAATTTAAATAATTTGATCACCTTTTTCTAAGAAAAAGCCTAGAGCTTTAACAAATGAACCGATATACAGTGGACCTCGGCCTATTTGCGTTTAGTATTCGTGGATTCTTCTTTTCGTTGAGCATACAAAATATATTCAAAATAAAATGCAGCTTGGGTGGCTGAAAAACCCACGTATAAGGCTACTCAACACGCTATTGGGTGGCGTTGGCAAAGCAGCCAATCAGAGAGTGCCTTTCATTTTCTTTGTCGCTGATTGGCTGAACCGATAAGCGAAATAGCGAGGAAGACCATAGACATTAGCTTTAGCTTCAGTGCTATTTAAATACGAAATCTAACATTTGTTTGCACATTTCTGAACATTTTTGTTCCAAAGCAGCTGACTAAAGGACAAAATGGATTATATACTTTATAATATGGAGCAATAATATCAGCTAGACAGCAGATTGCTTTAGTTAGTTCTTAGATGTTAGCCAGAAGGAGGCGAGGAGGAACGTGTCTCCTCAGCAGCGGAAGCAATAAAACTGGATCTGAAATGCAGCAGCTGACATGACAGAATTTCTAAACTGTTTCTAATCCTTGAAAGAAAGAAAAAACACTAAACTGTCCTCTTGCATCATTAAAAGTATTTGAGATGTAAACATAAATTTAAAAGAAGAGATCATCAAATTAGCAATGTTGCCTTTAAAGCTTCTAGCAGTTCTGTTTAGATTTGCACATTTTTTAAAATACATTTTCATCAATATTACATCTTTCATCGATGCTAATCTAATTAGTCATTTATCCTGCACAGGTGATAGAAATAAATCTTTTATGAAGCCAGCAGCACAAATAGTGTTAATTTGTGCTTTAATAAACATTTCAATCATTACTTTCTAATGAAACAAATGGGAACTGATATTCATTTATTTACCACAGCAACACAAAGTAAGGATGTAAAGTGAAAAGGGATGGATTTCAACACTGATTAGAAAAATTACCTTGCAACTGATTTTTTTTTTAAAGATCAGTTGCAGATTTTGTGATGATAATGTCAAAAACAAAATTTTATTCAGCTCAGAGCTGAAAATGAGATCATATTGGTGAATTTGAAATTTCAATGCTTTGCAAAAGCAGCGACACAACTTAAGTTCACATTTAAGGTATGTTACTAATGTACATTTTTTTGGTGACTTTATAGAACAACACTAAGTAGTGAAAATATGTATTGGGTTTTATGAAACAGGTTTTGAATAATCCTGTTATCGTGGTTGGAAGACTAAAATTAATTTATAGTTATTTTGGTTGTTTTTGTGTGTTTGGAGTAAAAACAACAATTTCACAGCATTCTCTGATAAAAGTCTGCTTTATCAATACAATCTGAGCAAAATTTAAAGATAAAGTAAAATTTCAACACTTAAATGTGTAATTTTAGTATGTTTGTAAATAGTATCTGAGTAAAATGTGTTTTCTTTAAGGTTTGTAGAAAAGTTTATTAAAAGTAATAAAAATGTCTCTTGTGTCACATCATCTTGTGCTGGAACATGAACAATGAGATTTTGCTCAAACAAGTATTTCTGTTATCTTCTCTAACAATTTTAAAACAGGCTCTTAAAGCTGTCAGAACTGGAAGAAGAGCTGGACGTTTATGTGTTTAAGGGTTGAAGCCGTTTGTTGGATCATGAGCTGAAACATGTGGAAGTGTTCGTTGACCAAAAATCACATGCATGAACGTTTCCACATGTCAAGCAGATCCAGAAAGAAACGGCTGAAAAAATCAACTGACTGTTATGTGCATAGAGTGTTTAGTAGGCTTGACCTTTGGTGAGATGGTTTCAGTTGTCCTATGTGAAGTTTTCTTTATTTTAAACATCAAAGTGTTACAGTTTGAGCATGAAAGCATTTGTGCTGCACGTGCAACAAAGCTGCAGTCAGGCCTAAAGAACTATCTTACCCATCGCTGTAAGAGGAAGAAACTTTATATTACCATAAAACAAACAGTTACTTGACTGGACCTGAAGGGAAAAGGACCCAAAATTCAAAGAAACATTTGAAAATCTTATTAATAAGATTGGAAAACTGTGAGTCTACTTCAGATTTTATTCATCGTGTCTTTTTTAAAAATATAAATGGAAATAATAAGATGGTGTAATCACCTGACTAAGCATCCAAAAATGATGAAGATGGGTTAAATTTGAACATGTTTTCATAAGAAAGGGACTTCAGCTGTATGTGTTAGAGAATAACAAACTACAATAAAAAGTATATTTAAGACACGAATCCTGTATAATTAATGTATTTCTACTTCCTAACAATAAAGTTATGGATAAAAGTGTTTCCAGATGTCACCTTTGTTTAATGTAAAATGATCACCATTTCTCTGGTGTCTGAACATAAAATGCCTTATGATACTCTCCGCAGCATGTGGCTTCAGAGCTAACAAACATGATCTCATTTCACTTCGAGGGGAAAAGGAACTGGGAGAAAAAGTCCCAGTCTTTCCCTTCCATGTCCATTTGTCATCAGGCCACATTCCTGCTCCTCTTCCTCATAGTAACACGGTTCTACTTTCACACAATGAGCAGATTGAGCTGCAGTTTTCTGCAGTGTGGAGAGACATTAAACAAAAACAGAGTTGTGTGAGTCGAGACCAGAACCCACTTTGCTACTACCAATGATGCTGGATGTAAAGCAGGTACATAAGGGCGAAGGAGCAAGTTTTTTTATTTCCAAAATTCTGATTTGAACACTTTTAAAGAACAGTGCAAATAGTTAAAACAAGTAATTTTATCAGAATTTTATCTAAATACTACTCGGAGGTGGTAGAAAGAGCAAGCTAACAATGGATGCAACCAGATTTTTGAAGAAGCATTTAATCAAAAATCAGTGACTGATGACAAAAAACTGCAGTAAAATTTGATGCATTTCCATTGCCCATATAATTGCACAGTCTGACATTTCTAAAAATTAATTTGCTTGATGGAAACAAGACAATTTAAAAAGAACAACTTTTTTTTTTTTTTTTTTTTGCCGTGTTAATGAACCAAATAAATCGATTTTTTTCACAAAACTGCAATGGAAAAACTTTTTTGATCAACAACCGGATGTTACTCCTGGCGCACACCACGAAGAAGAAGAGGACAGGAAGTATTTGGAGGATCATGACGCAGTATGTTTTCTAATGACTTTAAGTTTAATTTGCTTTAAACGTATGAAGAATATTTGAGAAAAAGAAATCTAGCCTCTTGTGTCTCAATAATTTTGGATAAAATAATAGGTTAGAAATCCGTCAGGGTTTTATTTGCCTGTGGGCTCTGAAATAGCGGTCACTGCTTCATCTATTGAGATGTCAGTAAGCTGGTTAAAATATTTGAGTCTTTTCAAACTGTCAGATACACCTGTCAAACATCTAAGTCCAAAGCAAAGTTAAAAAAAAATCATGACTGCCCTCTGCTGGGGTATGCTTGAATTACAATTATTTTCCTGTCGTTTCTTTAATCCTTTTTCTTCAGTAAGTATATTTACAATAAGCAACTGACATTCACTGTGCTTCTAAAATAAATAAAATTTAAAAACACTGACAAACAAACTGCTCCTGGGAAGCGTTTCAGAAATGTTGATTAGTTTGTCCCTCCTCGGCGACCATACAGACAACAGCCGTTGGTTTGAATGTGCAGCGCGGTTGGGCTGGACACCGGTTGTTTTGCTTTTGCCAGGAGAAAGAAACTGAGGTAACTTTAAATTTACTGAAACAAAACCTAAGTTTTAAATCTCAAAATAAAGGATTGGTTAGTTATACTGCTTTTGCATTAACTTCAATAATATATTTAAGCGATAAACTGATGAAACGCCGAGAACTATCAGCATTTTAAGGCTGTTTTTCCTTCGCTTAGTCTAAACGTTTACTTAATTATGCTATATTGTTATATGAAAAAATAGTTTCTAGTGTTTGTTGCGCTTGTAACTTTTTTATAAAGGTATATTTTCACGTTGTTCAAGAATAATTTTAACACTTCGTGAAAGTATTTTACGCTTTTTCCTTGAATGTGCCAACTTCCATTCAAATTTCGGCATTTTTTTTTGTTTCGTACGCTAAAATTTGTAAATACAGCTATTTAGACTATCCGTACACCATAAAATACTTTATACTTTTATTCGGCTGTGATTTTATACATGTAATATTTCTTTTCCTGTCTCATTGTACTAATTTGAGATTTTAAATCAGAAAAGCAGCCTTCCTGAGACGTTTAAAAACTACAAAACTATAAGATTACATATCTGGATAAATAAAAGGAAAGTTACGTCTGCGTGTGAAAAAGTCTTTCTTTCTGGACTTTTTAATGCGTATTTTGTCGTCTAGAAAACAAAAATCACAGCTTCTAAAGAAAGTTGTATTTTTGTTTTGATTTATTCTACTTTTAGATCCTTTTTGGAACATGATTTTAAAATGATCAGTGAAGATAATTCAGTAAAACAGCTGTTGTTGGAAATTTACGAACAGCATATAAAGAAATCACATATTAATCTTAGAAATAATCCATATTTAATGAATTATTTCAGTCCAGATTCAATAACACTCTAATATGGCTGTACAGATTTTAAAATTAAGTCAATCTGAGTTCATCCGGGACTGTGAATTGGCCGCCTATCACACTGCTTAATCGGGTCAGAACGCTAAAAATAAGAATTATGTTTGTTTCTAATATTTTAATGTGTTTTCTTGAGCAGAATGGCTTCTCTAAATGAGGACAGAGCGTTTAAAACCCCGATTCGAGGCCGGGTGAGGAGCTCTGGGAGCAGCGGAAATGGGACTCCCATCACCATCCCTGCTTCACCTTTCATGAAGAAGCTGGGCTGTGGGACTGGAGTCAGTGTTTACCTCATGGATAGGTTAGAAAAGATCCTGGAAACTGACTTACATCTTACATTACACAACAAGTAAAAACTTCCTACAAGTTAGCTGGAAAAATCAACATTTTCCCATATAATTGTTTATTTTATTGCATACAATTAATTTCTTGCAAAGCCATCTAATATTACAGAAACTTGAGAAATCATCAATTAGTTGTTTATTGCCTTAAATGCTTAGAAGATATTTGAAAATTACAGTTTTAACAGTTTATTCATATTTTTGGTTGAGATTGTGTTACAATGACAAAAAAAAACAGTAAAAGTGTTTTTTATTTTTTTTATTTTAAATCCAGAGTGGGGAAGTTAAACTCCTCTCCCTGGGCTGTGAAGAAGATCAACAGCAAATGTGCATCCAAACAGGTTGAGGTTTACCAGATGCGTCTGAATGAGGAAGCAGAGCTCCTGAAGGGAATCAACCATCCAAACATTGTTGGTAAGACTAAGAACAAATACATACAAGCTAATGTAATGTAGAATAAAGCGAAATCTGCAAAAATGAATGAATAAATATCAATAAAACACACCTAGGAGGTACTTCAGGTTGTGTTTATTGTGTAAAAAGGCCTTTGAGGTGAAACATTGGAGGTTTTGTTTTTGTTTCCGTTCTCTGTCTCAGTGTAAAATCATTCCTAGAGGAAGTTCTTCTTCTTTTGTGTCATTCTCAAGGTTTCCGCGCCTTCACCACGGCAAAAGACGGCTCAAAGTGTCTGGCTATGGAGTACGGAGGCGAGCAGTCCCTCAACGACCTCATCGAGAAGCGGAGGGAGGACGGACTGACAGCGTTTCCTGCTGCCTGCATAGAGAAGGTGGCTCTGCATGTGGCACGAGGCCTGAAGGTAAACGAGTCAGAAACAATCGACAAAACTGTTAAATTTCATTCATAATTGTCTTAAAATGTCTTAAATTTGAGTAAACCCAGTGAATGCCACCAATAACGTATCTATATATAGTAAATGAAATGATTTAACAACGTCTCTGCAGTACCTTCACAATGAGAAGAAGCTTCTGCATGGCGACATGAAGTCATGTAACATTGTTATCAAAGGGGATTTTGAAACGATCAAAATCTGCGACGTTGGCGTTTCTCTGCACCTCGATGAGAACATGAGAGGTAAACCTCGTCTTCAGTTAAAAGATTTCTTTAGTTTGTTTTTTTTACTTAAGTAAAACCTGTATTTGCCCATACCAGACATCCATTGTAGCCAATTTTCTTAGTTTTTCTTTAGAGACGTAGGTGTATTTAAAATGAAGTATTTAAGAGCTTTGTTTGTCTTCAGTGTCCGACCCAGAAGCGGAGTACGTCGGCACAGAGCCGTGGAACCCGAAGGAAGTTCTGGAGGAGGGAGGAGAAATCACGGATAAGGCCGACATCTTCGCCTTCGGTCTGACTCTGTGGGAGATGATGACTCTGTCCATGCCGCACCTGCAGATGCTGGACGACGACGAGGAAAACGAGGGTAAGATGATTTGTCTACCTGAGGATATGTTGCTTTTTTTATACTAATTATCATCAAACTGGCTCAAGTTCATCACTTAATCAATATGGGGGAAAAGTGCCAAAAATTTCTAACAAAACAGATATTTGTAGGATTTTTCAGTTATACCTGTGCACACCGATTAAAGTCCTGCACCAAGTGGAGGAGTTTAAATATCTGGGGATCTTGTTCATGAATGAGGGAAGAAGGGAGATCAACAGGCGGATTGGTGCAGCGTCTGCAGTGGAACAGGTGCTGCATCCCGTCTCTAAGGAAGAGCTCTTCCTTAGAGACAGGGTGAGGAGCTCAGTCATCCGGGAGGGACTCAGAGTAGAGCCGCTGCTCCTCCACGTTGAGAGGAGCCAGTTGAGGCTCGGCATCTGGTCAGGATGCCTCCTGGACGCCTCCCTGGTGAGGAGTTCATGTCCCACCGTGAGGAGGCCTCAGGGAAGACCCAGAACACGCTGGAGAGACGATGTCTCTCGGCTGGCCTGGGAACGCCTTGGGGTTCCCCTGGAAGAAGTGGCTGGGGAAAGGGAAGTCTGGGCCTCCCTTCTGAAGCTGCTGACGCCGCGATCCGACCTCAGATAAGCAGAAGAAGATGTATGGATGTTTCACTTGGTGATGGAGTTACCAAAATAAATGAACTTTTCAATAATATTCTAGTTTACTGAGTGGATCTCTGTATATCTGCCTCAGATTTTTGCTTCTGGGTAAGAAAACAAAGACCTAAGTTGGATGGATATGAGTCTTATTAAATATTTTGTGTATTCCAGATGATTCGATGGAGATGAGCTTTGATGAGGACGCCTACTATGAGCGTTTGGGGACGCGGCCGCCGCTGGACGCTGCGTCGCTGGGCGGCTCGTACCGCAGGATGGTGGAGCTCTTCTGTCTTTGCACTGAGGAAAACCCCAAGAAGAGACCTTCAGCAGCGCAGATCGTCCAGGTCTTGGAGGAAAATGCTGCCCTGGACCAAGCACCATGTGACGTGATCGTTATTGACTGATGGTGACCATCCTCCTTCCAACCCCAAAGTAATATTTTGATCTTTATATGTATGTTTTCCAGCTGATTTCTATATTGTCGCCTTGTACTTCAATCTTTAACTTACAATAAACTTTGTAAAAATGCTCCTAACTTTCTCTTTTTCAGTTTCCCGATTGTCAGTTAATGGTTTATGAGTAAAATTAGTTTTAATGGATTAGAAATGGCCGTTTAGACCGCCACTAAATGCTGTAGTTTGGCCTCCATCCAGCAGAGGGCGCCGCTGCAATTTAACTTGAGCCGTTGATACAGAAACGAAGATGGCGGCGGGTTATAATGTAGAACGAGGTAGAGAAACGTCTAAACGAGTCCGGAGTGGGATGCGAGATACATTTTATACGGTTCGACAAACTCCTTAAGTTTCATCTTTATAGCGCTAATAGCAGAGCTGCACCAATGTATTCAGACAGATATGCTTATGAATTAATTGAGCAATAAGATCACTTTAGCAGTCTCAATAACTTGAATCCCTAATTTTAACTGAATTTATACACTTTTTAAAAAAGGTCATTTTGGGCCAAACCCATGGAAAACAGCAAGAACTGGTTTTGCATTGTAAAAGGAAAATACTTTATTAAATGTACAAAGCAGAAATGTCCTTGTACAGCGACGGCATCGATATTTCTGAAACATCTCGTCTTCAAAGTGAACAGAATACTTTCAACTGGTACCAAAAAGAGAAATCTTATGCTGAACATTTTTCATAAACTCCAACGTCAGTAAGAACGCCTGAAAGCTGAATGAAGGAACAACTGAAACATTCAGTAAAGCAGGCTGGAATATAAATACAGATCATCTGAACAGTTCTCTACCTGATTAACTTCAAAGCTAAAGCCTTAAACATAGAACAGCTTTGCATATAAAAACATTCAGCAGAATCTTTTAAAAACGTGAAAAACTCCAGACTCTTCATGCGATGAAGTTGTAAATGAGGAAGGTCGGCGTGTTGCAGTATTTAGTGGCAAACAGCTTCCCGTCAGGTGTCGGATCAGAAAAGGCGATTTCCTCCTTGGTCAGGTAACTCCCGTACATGAATGTGCTCCTAGAAAATAATAATAATTGTTTTGTCTAACAGTAACAGCATAATAATGCAAAAGCTTTCACCAAACTTTAAACTCTAATAATAACTTAACTCTGGAACTGGAAGACATTTTAAATATCCAACATAAATGAATTGTCAAGTCTCGAACAAAATTGTCTTTCGAAAAGGACAATTTTGAAGGAGACAAAAAAAAAGGGAACTGAAGACTGCCATCCAAAGAGAAAGGAGAAAAATGATAAATCATGTAAAAGTAATGAAACTTGTTTTAATTCATCATGAGATTAATTGATTTATTGCATCAGGCCTAGAAATAAATAGAAATTAGGGGATTTGTTTGTTAAATTAGTGTTTTATTTTCAGATCAACCATATGATGTGAGACATTTAAAAACATGTCAGATTTTAATGAACCTTCCCCTGATGTAGAATACTATCATAAGACATTATTATAATAACAGTAATAAGTTATACAATAGTGGATTGAAACCGTATTATTTTAACTCCAAAGAGGTGCTGAAAAAGTTTTTAAATTACCTTAAAAATGCTAGGAAAGGGCTTGAATTTTACTGTGGGAAAAGTGGCGAATAAAGGGGCGTCTCACCTCACTGTGTCCAGCATTCGGGTGGCGATGGCCTGCCGCCTGGCCAGGCTGAAGACCCAGATCCGGCTGATGCCACACAGAGCTTGTTCTGGGACGGTGGAGCAGCACCAGGCCCGGTGCCGATCCATGAAGTCATCCTTCGTCATGTCCTTGTTCTGGTCTGGCTGTTCCAGAACCCTGTAGGCCTGAGAGGAAACAGGAGAACTGGCATAAAACAACCGGAAAAAGTTCAATAAAAATCACCTGGAGTGACTGTGCTGCAACTTTTTAAAGCGTCAATCACTTTTGAGTTTTAAAATGCAAATGGTAATAAGAAAAATAAAATTGTAAAGCATTTTCACAAAGTAACTCCGACAGTGCAATGAATATTTTTTGTATGTGGTTGCAATGCAAGCTACTTTGAAATAATGTTTTTTTTATGTTTTGTTAGGGCTGGGTGATATACGATGGCATAGATTTTAAAAGAAAAGGTAAATTTGCAACAAAAATCCCTCAAATTTAGAGTTTAGAAATTTGAGTTGAAAAACTCAAAAGATTGCAAGAAAAAACAAACTGTGAGATTGTCCTCAGAAATTTCTAGAAAAAAAAAGAAATCAATTTTTTCAACCCTTTAGATTCTTTTTACTTCTGATAAATGCAGTCAGTGCATAACAAACACGGAGATACCTGTCTGATGGGTTCAGCCACCAGGCATCCCACCACCAGCCTGTCTGTGTTGATGAACAGGAAGGTTTTGGCCTGAGTTGGTCGGCTTAGAGTCACTTGCTGGAAACCCAACTCGTTGTCCGCTATGCGACGCACTTCTTCAGCCTGAAACAAAGTCCGTTTTAAACACAAGCATTTAAACTTAAACCAGACTTCTCCGCTCAGACGGTTCTGCACCTTTTTCACTGCATATTTTGGATCGTCGGGTAAAACCAGGATGATTTTACCATCCCAGAACTCGGCCACCACTCGCTCCTTCTTCCACCCCTGAGAATCAGATTAAATAAACTTAATGTAGAGCTGAAACAATTAATCAATCTTTGAAAAAAATGTCAATTTAATCAAATAATCGTTGACCAAAATAAAAAAATAAATCATAAACATGCCATTTGAAAACATCCAGTGGTAATTAGACTAAAACTACAAAGAAGTTATACAAATTCTGCATTACGGGTGAAAATAGTTTTTGCTTCTCTTGGCTCACATGTTGATGTTGTGTCGTGGAAAAAATTACTTTAACGAGAGTTTGAATGAGAAGAAATGTATTAAAACCTTGCAAGGTGAGAACAGAAATAGAGTCAAGGAGTCTGTCAGTCTGCTCTGACTAACAGTGGATCTGGTCAGCAGATCACACAGCAGCAGGGAGTCTACGTCTCTGGGTGTTTCCCAACAGGGAGAAGAGAGGCTTGACTGGACTATAGGTGTGAATCCTTGATCGTTATGCACCCGGGATTCTGTGCAGCCCGACACAGATGGTCCTGCCATTTGTCTATTGTTAAGCAAAGGGGGTTGTTACTTAATGCATAAAATGCAGTCTCAGTTCAGGCTGGAGAAGTAACACCTAGATGGTCACAGACGTGCCCTGCTGCTATACGACACTGTGGAAGTCTACAGGAGAGCAGCTTGACCAAAGTCATGAAACGATCATGCAGACAATCTACAGCACAAGAGGCACATTTTAAAATGTTCCATTACAGTTAGAAGTACATTTTCAGCTGCAGATGAGTCCTTTGCTATAAATGATCAAGTGTACATTAAAATAATTGTGTTATGTCTTTTTAGGCATTAAATTAAAAAACACATTTAATTGCATTGCAGTCTTTCATGTGGCGTCCTGAAGAAGCTGTAATAAGTAGAACGTAATCACGATATTTTGCAGTACTATCGTGATAACACAGCTAATCTCACATCGCCCACCCTCATTTTAAACTCTTTTTCTAACCTTTTGTATCTCAGCTGCTTCAGTAAAGAAAGACGACATGAAGGGAATCTCACCACGTATTTGATGGAGTCCAGGAACCGCTGGTGGAACTGGGTGTGCTGGAAATTGTCCTCTGGGTTGTCCGCGCTGTAAACCATCCCACAGGAGCTACAGGTCGTTGCTCCAAACTGCTTCTGTCCAGCATCCTGACGAAACCGATTCATAAAAACCGTCAGGTTTATACGAGTAAACGACCTTCAGATCTGATCAAATGAGTGTCAAACATGCTGAAGGCATGAAGGTTTATGTGTGAATTATGAACCAAATCGATGTTCAGACACGAAAACAGAAGTTAAACGTACGATGATGAGCTGGTCGCTGTCCAGCTTCTCCTTCTTCCTGCGAGTTTGTCGCTCTTTGGCTGCGGCTGCCGGCGGCTGCAGTGAAGCTGCTGAGGAGGCGGACGGCGTGCTGCAGGACACCGGAGAACGCAGAGCTGCACTCAGCCTGAAACCAAGAAATCAACAATATAAACGAGTCTGGGTGAGTTTTAGGTGCTTTTTAGGGCTGGAACAAAAAATATTTACATTTTGAACTTAAGATTTAAAAATCTTAAATTACTGATCAACTGATCCAAAGAATAATCAATAAGTCACACTGTATTGATGTTGAACCAAGCAGGAGCTGTGCTTTTCACAAACCAGAATTATTTTAGCTGCAGATGCATCCTTTGCTACAAATGATCAGATATGTGGTAAAGGAATGCTGTTACTGCATTTTCAGAAATAAAATGTTTATTTTCCCATTAAAAAAAGAAGCAAGTTGTTTATCTGCATCTTTTAATGCATTTCTACTATTTACAAGAAGGCTTGAAAAAATCTGCCGAATTCACCAATTTCTTATGCGATTAATCGTCAAAATTGTCGATTAATTAAAACATTTTTATGTTGCAACTAATTTATCAAACTCAAAATGGCCGCCCAGATACTGATCATTTTCCTTGTTTCATCAAGACCTGACTGAGCATTTAGATTAGCATGTTAAACAGTTGCGGCTAACAAGAGATCTGAATTGATCTGCTTTTAAGACAGTCAACTGGTTAAACAGAAAAACCCAAAATATTTGGATTAATTTCATGTTACATCAAATAATACTTGTATTTAAAATGTCGCACCTTTTTGACGAAGAATCAAATATGGGGTACACGGCTCCAGAAGCTGTGGAAAGGAGGAAGAGATGTACAATGGTGGAATATAGAGGAAGAACCATGTATAAATATAGAATGAGTTGCTCTGACTGACAGATGGATTAATAAACTGTTTATACATGCAGGAACAAACCTTTGGAGGGGTTTATGTCGCCTTGGTCAAAGGTCGGCTCTGAGCCTCCGTCTGCCATCAACTCATCCTGGAAAAGAAAAAAGTAAAATTTAAAGTTAAAATACTTACAAAATCTAAAGCCATTTTAATCCACAATAATCCAGAGGACTTGTGATGCCTACCAGACTGCTGCTGGACGATGTTGCAGGTTTTGGACTTGGAGT